CGAATCAACAATCGCAAATGCAACAGGAAACAGACCTACAACACAACACCAATACACAACTGTTCACAGTATTCTAAAATGAATAGAAAACAATATAAACGAAACAGGTCATGTGAATGTTTATATCTACATTGCCCTATTACTATTGTTATTTCTGGATTCAAGTTCATAAACAACAATGATGTGAACATTCACATTAACGACCATTAATAATTCATTTTTGATTGTTCAGCAATTGATAATGTGAACATTCACAGTACTGTTCATTAATGGATCAACTGACACTAGTATACACTGATGTGAATGTGAATGTTCACATAACTGTCATTAGCAGGCACAGATGTATAATAATGTGAATGGATCAGTGTATAATAATGTGAATGTTCACATTAGAGTCATCAGCAGACACAGATGTGAACATTCACATCAGTGCATACTAATGTCAATGTTCACAGTACTTATAATTTCTCCATCACTCATTTGTCCATACTATGCATGTCAATGTGAATATTGACATGAATATACAGGTAAAAAAAATACTAACCATTATTTCCGTCTTTCGCCGTTGCCGCCAGTAGCTGACCTTTGTACTTTCCTTTGAGGAATGTTTCATCCAAGAATAATAAAGGCCGACAAGAATTGAACCTAGAAATACACGCAGCGAACGACACAAAGAAACGACGAAACTGTTGACTACTCGCATCATAGTCAATATTGACATAACTCCCCGGATTGTACCGCATCACTGCATCCGAATACCACCGCAGCTGGTCAAACGATAATGAGTGATCTCCATGAATACCAGCCTTTGCTTTCTCCACAGCCAACCATACGACATGGTAACTCACATCTAGCCCATAATCACTCTTCAAAATAGTCACAACATCACACGGCCGAGTCAACGACTTGTCCCTCACAATTTCAGATATGGTACTCGACACCAAATCCGAACTAACTCGCGGATTCTTCGATGTTCGGACATCCGTACCACAAGTATGCACATCACTAAAACTCTTGATGTAAAAAAAATCATTTGCTCGTTGTGCTTTACAATGTATAGCCCACAAGCAGCCCCTCTCCTCCCGCATCGCACACACAGCAGTAACTCTTGTTGTCTCGTTCTTCACGTATGTAAACTGAAACCCACATTGGATGGCATACTTACATAAAACGTCACGAAATTCTTGTGCACCTCCAACAAACCGTTGTCCCACATGCGTAATACCATTTGCCCAAGGGGCTGACAACAACACCTTCTCGTTATAGTGGCAAAATCTCCGTAATGCATCAATTTCTTCCTCAACCCCCACACGCACCAATCCCAAACTAGTTGACTGACCAATACCACTTTTCAACTCAACCACAACTTCTACATGTTGTACCCCCATTGATTTAGCAAGCAGTAACATGTTCTGAAATTCTTCCTCATTGTCCAAATCACACTTACTAATCCCAGGTAGTTTACAGAACAGTGAAATAGAACCAGCAGACAACTCATCCCATTTCTCACACAAACACTCCACCAAACGAGAATAACACATTGCGCGGGCAATATTTATTACAGTTGTACTGCAACCATATGTACACACCAACAGCATAAAGGTATCCATCTCCTATAAAAACACAAAAACACAACAACGAACAGTAATAAAAATCAATATGAAAATTCACTTTGTGCAAAAAATAGATGAGTACGCGTACAGTTCAAGTGCTAAATCTATAATTCATAATACGAAGATGTGAACATTCACATTGTTGTTAACAACATGTCAACATTAAGCAAACATCAAAGTAAAATGAGAAAATCAACAATCTTCACATAATATTCGCAAGATGTGAACATTTACATTGACACAGACACTCTAAATTATATGATACACACAGAGCCTCATTCAGCAAACATCAATTTTAAATGAGAACATCCACATTCTTCACATAATCCACATTAACAAAATGTGAACATTCACATTGACATATATACTGATAATCAAATCATCTACAGAGATCATCATTACGCATACGTCCAAGTAAAATGAGAACTACACATTTAATCAAAATCGACATAAAAAATCACATTGTGCAAAAAATCAAAAATTACTACGTGTACAGTTCAAGTGCTAAATCCATAATTCACAATACAAAGATGTGAACATTCACATTGATATTAACAAGATGCCAAAATTGCAAACATCAAAGTAAAAATGAGAACATCAACAAACTTCACATAATATTAACAAAATCTGAACATTTACATTGACACATACACTCTGAATTATATCACACACACAGAGCCTCATTAAGCAAACATCAATTTAAAATGAGAACATCCACATTCTTCACATAATCCACATTAACAAAATGTCATATATACTGATAATCAAATACTGATAATCAAATCTTCTACAGAGATCCTCATTACGCATACGTCCAAGTAAAATGAGAACTAACACTGTTCTTCACATAATATGAATGTACTCCCCTCCACAGGACCACGTAAGAAGCATATAATTGAAAAACCAGAGCATCCAATTCATATCAATCCAAAAACAGAGCATCTGCTCCATCATACAAATGAAACCATAAACTGAACATGTATTCATAATCAAATTGATACTAACCTTAATCATGTAATCCTACAATCCTCCAGAAAGTCGAACACAACTGATTTGAACTACTTAATGCTCGGAAAATGTGACAGCCGAATACCTACCTCTTCGTCATCTTCACTCGCAAACCACAGAACCAGACTACAACACCAGGAATGAAACCCTAGCACAACCAATCCTTGGAACGAGTATGCAAAACATAAACGTATCTCTTGGAATTGGATTGATGAAGAAAAACGTAAAATAGAAACTGCCAAACTGAATCAGCGAGGAAACAGCCATGTAAACAGGCACGTAATATGTAAATACGTATTAACACTGTACATATATATATATATATATATATATATATATATATGAGGGCAAAATAGTCCAGGAAAATATATTAAATTAGGAAAATGGACCTTATAGAATAAAAAGAAAAGTTTGTGGGACTAATCAGGTTATAATATTCTTTTGTGGACCTAATGGGTTATAACAACTCTAGAATGGATTTATCAATAAAAATCCCTTTTTGGAAAGTGTGCATTCTATTTAATCCCAAAACCTTTTAGATAGACCCAAAAGTCCTATGTCTATTTATCTTTTCATCTTTTCCTATACTTTGCTTCTTCTCTTTATCTCTCTTTCTCTGATGTCGGCGACAACCACAACTACGCCTTCATTCTTTTCTTTCTCTTTCGAACCTACAGTCATTGGCAACTGGCGACTACTATTGATTGGGGTTTACTGACAACCACCAAGTACCAACTTCTTATTTCACCCTCACCGACAGCAAAAGAAATGAGTTTCCAACGAAGAAGATGAATAGATCTACTCAAATCTGATGTAGATTTTAGATACGGCTAGATCTAAACTAAAAAGTAATTGTCGAAGTACAAGCATCTCTTTATATCTATCTATTTCCTTCGATCTTTCTGTTTTTTTTTTTTTCTATACACTTCTATTTTTTCTTGTTATAATAGAAAAAAAATTCAAATTATGAACAAGTTATTTTCGAGTTTTAGTTACAGACGATGAAAATTGTAAAATTTTACAATTTCCTTTTTTTTGTGTGCTGAAATGAATAATTCTTTAGAATTGTAAAATTTTACAGTTTCATAACTTTTTTTAAAATTGTAAAATTTTGTAGTTTCGTAACATATTTTTCAATTTGATTAATAAGGATAAATGATTAATAGAATCATACTTTGAAACTGTAACATTTTATAATTTCAAAACTTGTTTTTTAGTTTGATCAATATTAGAGATTATTTACTTAATAGCAATAATTTAGAGCACTAATTTTGATACCCTAATAGAGCACTAATGACATGGTAGTCGTCAAAAAAAAAAAAACAACAATGCTAGAGACCTCTAAAAAGGCATCTCTAAACCCACCTCTAATGAGGTGGAAAAGCAACAAAAAAAAAAAAAAAAAAAAATCAAGACACATGATTGGCTGTGGCAGTGGGGGACCCACTGCCACATCACTAGTGATACCTCTAAATTAGAGGTCTAAAGCATTTTTGAAAAAAAAAACAAGACCAAATCATCACATCACAGTGGATGGGACCCACACTGGCTTTAGAGCTCAAGAACTAAAGCTACAAAATATTTTTCTTTGCTTAAACTCTACAAAAATTGAAAATAATATTTTTTTTCATTGTTGCTGTTTGTTGTTCTTAGGTTTTTTTTTTTTTTTACCTTATCAATATTTAACGTATTTTGCTATGTTTTTTAGCTTTAATTTCTCAATTTATTCTCTCTTTTTTTTTTTAGCAATATTCTGGACATTCCGGTGAGTCTTTGACGATATTCTTGTAGACATTTCGGCAACTTTTGGTGACGTTCAAAATATTCTGGTAAAATTTTGGTGGTATTCGAGTGACTTCTTGGTAACGTTAAACATTATGATGAGTCTTCGATAATCGTCTGACAGTGATAAGATGTAATACCGTCTTTAAATTTTAAAAATAAAATATTTTTTTTAATAATAATTAAAAATATATAAAACTAATTGATATAAGTGATTTATTTTAAAATTAGATGAGTTTTGAAGTTTGTCTATTTAATTTATGAGTAAGTTCCCACAATTAAATAATTGGGCAAATTACATATACTCCCTCGAGGTTTGGCTAAATTACAAATACCCCCCTGAGGTTTGAGAAATTACAAATTTCTCACTGAATGCTATATTTACATAACAAATTAGGGGGTAATTTGTTATGAAATTTAAACCTCAGGGAGGAAATTGTTATGAAAATACAAACCTTAGGAGGCGGGATGTAATTTCTGAAACCTTAAAAGTATCTGTAATTTAACCAAACCTCAAAGGAGGTATATGTAATTTGCCCTAAATAATTTTGATGGGCTGTTATTGGGCCAATCGAGAAGGGTCCAATAATATCTACTCCTCTCTGTCTAATTGCCCTAATATCTCTCCCTCTCTCTCTCTGCACCGCTCGCCAGCGCCGTGGCCACCACCGTCCACCGTCTCTCTCCGCCGGCGTTACTACCGGTAGAATAATATTTGAGCACCAACGGTGAAAAAGTTTCCATTTTTATACAATACGCAACCCTCAACAGTGCTAGGGTTTGTCCGAGGCAAGTTAAAGAGGTAAACGATGGTTGAAACACTTTTAGAGGATATCTTTAGAGTTGAGCGAGTCGACCCAGATGGTAAAAAGTTTGATAGAGGTATGTTTTCTAGTTTGGTCATGTCTCCTACTGAATTTTGATTTTTTATGTTTTTATATGATATGAGAAAACAAGTGTTTCTATAATACTGTTTCTTATACCTAATCAATCCATTTGAAGTAAACCCCTTTATTAATTTGTGAAATATATATACTACAATATCTATTATGTGTTTTAATGCCATGCTAGATTTGAGCTTAAGTGGACTGGGGGGGTTGAGTTTATAAGCTTATCAGCTATGAAGCAGGGATACTTCAAATAAAAAGACGGATACCGATACTCCTTGGAGATACGTATCTGATTCTTATTAAAAGTATCGGAAACTTATTAATTAATTTTTTATTAATTTTGAAGTATCGGATACTTAATTTTGCTCCAAGTCACATGTTATCGTATACTTTTGAAGTATCAAATGCTTCAAGTCACGGATTACTCCTTTTATGAAATTAAAATTGTATCATTTTTTGCATAACATCATAATATAATACAATTGTGAGAATAAATAGAATATGTTTACAATACTTTGCTTAGTTTTTTTATAAAAATAACATAGTAAGCTAAAGTAATAGAATTCATTAAATTGACATATCTTCATTGTATCATGCATGTCCCCTATAACTACATAGAAGTAAGGATTAATAAGATAATATAACAATAGTAAAATTAAATATCAATAAATAAATAAGCAAATAAACTTGCATAGAATATTTTTGATTAGTGCAAAAGGAAAAAGCATAGGGTCAATTTGTAGATTGTTTTGATATTATAATATCAACATATTAGACTTGATATTAAAATGAAATATTTGCAAGACCTATTAAAAATTTAAAAACTAAACTAGCTACTACCTTAAATTAATACCTAATTCTTAAAAATTAGTATTTTGCATCATAAAGTTGCTGTGGTTTCTCAACATTCTTGAACTTATGTGTAACTCACTGCTAATAATTATTTATTTTTTATTTTTTACAAACATATCCTAGCCGTACCCGTATCCTACTTTTTTAAGTTTTGCTGTATCATCGTATCCGTATCGTATCTGTACCTCGTATCCGTGCTTATCAGGGTTTTAATGTAACTGGATTTTGGCCTTATGATACCATTATTATCCAAAAATATGAAGCTTATTATGAGAGGATGTTCAGGCTATCATTCTTAGGCAAACAACTCACTATAATTGGCTTGTTATGGCTATGGGTTTACACAAATTCCATAGGTGGTAGAGTGATTGCCCTTGTCCAAGGAGTGTGGGTAATTTAATTTATCACCCCAAGAAAAAAAAGGCTGGTCTATAGCTGTTTAGTCCAAGGAGTAGAATTTTCAAGCCTGATAAAAATTTATGAGAACTTAAACTTTAATGGGGAATTTTCTGATTGGGTTAAGCCTTTCAAAGCAGAGCATGGGCATGGATGAACTGGATGTAGCTTAGCAAGTGTCATACGTTGCCTGTTGAAATTATTGACCCCAATTGGGAACCATCTTGTATGCTGAAATGATCATATACATTTGTACAATTTGATGTGCATGCAATGCATCATGTGGTGGTTTCTTTAGGCCTGGAATATTCAGTTCAGTATTTTGAAGTGTTATACAATTGGGAGCTTGAGGTGTTGGAGGGTGTCATTGAATTTCTTATGCCATCAACATCATTGGCATGCCTACAGAGGCAGGCTGTGAATGATGGCAGATTTGAGGTGAGTTCTTGATGCACTAAAGATTCAGGACCAATTGTTGACAATGAATGGCACACGATCAAGCAGTAGGGAAGCAAATCTACGCTAATTCATTTTAGTTGTATGATAAAGTAGTATTTAGGTTTGTGTAATTTAGAATTTTGTTATTAGGTGTAGTTTTCTTAGTTGCAAGGTAACCTCCTTTGGAGGTGAGTGCTTGCATGTAGGAAAGCAGCTTGTCATCTAGTTTAATGCAGTGTTTGCATGTAGGCAATGTGTCACCAGTTTGGGTTAAGTGGCTGCATTTTTGCAACTTGTTGCCTTCTTATTTTGTGCCTTTTCTATTCCTAGCCTCTTCACCATAAAGCAACCTCCTTAGCTATTATATATAGGGCTATAATCTCTCTTGAAGAGGTTTTTTGAGGAATTGAAATTTCAGATTTTGTTATTTCATTGTTGCCATATTTTGTTACTCATTAGGGCTTGGTTTTGAGGCCTAAAGCTTGTGGAATTCCAGCCTGGTTGCTTGATTTTCCAGAATCCAGTCCTAAAAGCTGGTTCTTGCATATTTCAGCATTGATTTGAGTGTTATTCGGGTTCACCACCTCTGTTTGTAGTTATTGGAGCCTCCAACCAAACTACATGATGTTCCATTATAAGGTCTTGGGGGAAGGGGTGTATGGAGTAGTGCTGGTTTTCCTTGGAAGAGTATTTGGTGTGTTAAGGTGATTTCCTGGTTGATATCTTTACCACAAATTGGCTCTGAGAAAACTTCTCACAATTAATAATGTGGTTAAAAGGGAGAAGGTACTCCCCTAATTGGTTATAATATCTTTTAACATCTTTTAATTTATGTATATATATATATATATTTTAAAAGAAGAATAAGATGAAGAATAATAACATGTTTAATATCTCTCCCTTTAATGATAATTAGATACTTTTGATGCATTCAAAGAGTCTTTACGGTTTCTCTGAAATATAATGCAGCGTCTGCTAGTGTTTGGAGCTAATAGTTTCATAATGTTTTTCTTAGTTTCTCGAATTGAAGCAGTCAGTGAGCAGCTTGATATGCACATGCAGCTAGATGTAAACACAGAGATATATCCTCTTCATGTTGGGGAGAAATTCATGATGGTATTAGCATCCACTCTAAACTTGGATGGAACACCTGACAGTGGTTATTATACTCAGGTAATCTTAATCTTCCTGTAACTTTTTATTACTGATGAATAAACTTTGAATACCACATTAGTTGTCACATTATTATTAATTGGTCATTTAGTTCTCACACTATTATTAGTTGGAGACTTGCTCTTGCAATTTGACCCAAGTCATTCAAGCTTAGTCCTCAGACATGGTGTGAATTTTGATGATGTTGATTAGTAATGCAAATATCCAATTCCATCTCTTCACACTCTAGGAACAGGTTCCACTCTTGGTCATATAACTGTAATCCATTTATTCAGAGTGTTGAATTTTCATTAGCCTATATAAAGTAGTCGGTAACATGATGGATAAGATCTGTGTACTCAACCCATACTACTTGAGATCAATTCAAATATAATTTGCTTGTAGGAAACTATTCTTCATTTTTGGGACAATAACTTTCAATTTTCAATGTGTTCTAAGAACTGATTTTGCCCGCTATACATAGGATTGACAGGACTGACTTGTTTATTCTAACTAGCTGTGCAATCAATTGATGAATTTTCTAGACTTTCCTTTTAGGTAATTCCTTTTCCTTTTTTCTTCTCTTGCTCCTACATTTGCAAGCTTTCTTTCATGATCAATTGTTTATTCTTTCGTGATTTCTAATCAAGAGTCCTTTAAAAGGATTAGAAGAGTTTAGTTGTCATTATTAAGACACACACTATAGTCTTTGACGAGTAATCTTCCCCTTGTTTGCTTTCATTTTAGATGAACCTACTCAAGGTTATGCCAAAGTTTAATGCCCGGATGGTTTTCAAAAAACATTTCTTAAGCTCTCTATTTATTTTAAAGTGGTTTTAGTATATGAACCATGTTCTTATTATATAATATCATGAAGTTTTGGCATAGAAGTTGTTTCCTAGAGCAATGACAAGTGCTATATGCTCACAGGTTTGAGCCACAGGAATTAGCCTCTCCAAAAAAATGTGGGGGGAATGCGCCTGTTGCCCAAGTGTGGAGGTGAATTGGATTGACAAATAAAAAGTTAAAACCCAACACAAACTATGCAAACCCAAATTACCACACTATGCAAATGATGAAATATAAAATAACAATATATATACCCAAAGTAAAGATGAATAGTTTTTAATGCAAGTACATGGGCTATGGGTAATGAGCTGGGTTTGGCTCTTTGCCAAAAACAAATTGGATCTTTCAGGATGCCTAGTGTGTTCCTCTAAGGGTTATGCTAACGAGAGCCCTATGGACTGTCATTAAGGTGAAGATAATGCCAAAATATTTAGAGTCCCAATGCACTTTTCAGACGTTCCCAAATACTCTTATACATTGAGGCTGATGACTACTCATTGAGCAGTCATCAGGATTTTCTTTGTTCTCTAAATAGGTAGTCCAATAAGTTAAATAGCTAAAAATGACAAAAGCTGGCTGATGTGACAAATGGGATGTCTTCACTTACGTTTGGTTATATCATATCTGTGATGTGATACTCGTGCTCTCCTGTTGGCCTGCTGTGCACCATGTAAAATAGCAAATCAAGGTTTTGGGCCTTGGAAGCATCTTTCTCATGCCTTATGTGGGACTTAAGAGGCTGCCACCGTTTTCAATCTCTATGTAATCATTTATTGAGATGTAAGCTTCCTTGAAATGATGTTTTGTATTGCGTTGTATGTAAAAAAGACATCTTATGTACTGTAAATAATCAATTTCAGGGTGGAAGGAAGTCACTTGCAGACAAGTTTGAATATGTCATGCATGGGAAGTTATATAGGATCTCAGATGCTTCAGGACCAAATGTTAAAGTGTACGTATGCGTGCTTTAAAAATAGTGTAAATAATAAAATCTCTATCTCTCTGTGCGTTTCTTTATTTCTGTCTCTGATCATTGCTTCATTGGGTTTTTTTGTTTTGGGTATCAGGGAGATGTGTGTATCATTTGCAGGGCTTTTGATGCTGCTGAAAGGGGACCCTACTACTGTTGCACAGAAGTTTGAGCTTGACCAGAGGTTGTTTATCCTCATCAGGAAGGTCTGAAACTCTATTGTAAATCACGAACAAACTTATTTCCATTTTGGCTCAAAGAATATGTAATCTGAGATGCTCCTCAATTTCTGAACTTTGGATTTTACTGTTATAACAGTTTAGAAACCCTACTTAGAGATATATTATGAAGTGTGGGTGTATTCTCACGCATGCTTGTGTATTTGAACCACATCTTTTATTAATAAATATGGTTAAGGAAGAACATTCTGGCTGCTGGAGGCACCCATGCCATTTGCTGCTTGGACAATCTTTTCCAAAATGCTTGCTTAGATATCAACTATTCTGTATTTCCTAGAAAACAAACCTGTCAATCTAAGTAAGAAAATTCCGTGCCAACATCACTGTATATGTTACCTGCTGACATGGCTTCTATGTACACAACCTTTCCTTAGGAAAACGTATTCATCTAACTATAAAGCTTCTTGTCATAAGTTTGTTCCCTCTTCATCATATGTTAATGATGTAAAAAATTCCCCACTTCTTGAGACTTGCTGTGTCTCATGCGAACTTGGGTCCGTGGTTTAATTGACCCGGGAGCACAAACGCTATTCAGAGGAAGACAAGCAAAGACGAGATAGAAGTAGCATTAGGCAGTGAGAAGGAAGTAGTCTTTTTGTTTCCACTTTAACATTTGAACCTTTGAATTATTGTTGCCCTTGGGACAGCCCTTGAACCTTTTTTACATAGGGCCATGTGGTTAGGGAAGTCTTCTGTTTTCTCAACTGCTATTTCACTAGCTTTCAAGGAATGGAATATTGTCAAGCATGGTTTTGCGAAGGCTTCTTGTAGTTGCGTGCTTGTGAACCATTCAGTGTATTTTTAAAAAATAATTACACATTCATTGAAACATTTATGATTTTAACAATTAATATTTATAAATTTTACCACTAATATGTAATTAATTTTGTAGAAATTCACTGGTGCATAAATTTCCAGTAAGTCATTGACGATCACCATTATTAAATATATATAATAATAATTTATAATAGCAAATAATAATCAACTATATAAAATGATCACTTTTTTACTTTAATTCTTAAATTTTTATTTTTTTTTTTATTTTAAGGTTTAAGATTTAGGGTTTAATTCTTAATTTTTTTATTTTAGGGTTTAGGGAGAAAATTTATTTTTTTTATTTTAGGGTTTAGGGTTTAATTCTTAAAATTTATTTATTTTTATTTTAGGGTTTATGATTTATAATTTAATTCTTAAAATTTATTTTTTTTATAAATCCTAAAATAAATTTTATTTTAAAAATAAATTTTAAGAATATATAAATTTTAAAAATATTTTTTTATAGTTTAATTGATTATTATTTGCTATTATAAATTATTATTATATATATTTAATAATGGTGATCGTCAATGACTTACTGGAAATTTATGCACCAGTGAATTTCTACAAAATTAATTACATATTAGTGGTAAAATTTATAAATATTAATTGTTAAAATCATAAATGTTTCAATGAATGTGTAATTATTTTTTAAAAATACACTGAATGGTTCACAAGCACGCAACTACAAGAAGCCTTCGCAAAACCATGCTTGACAATATTCCATTCCTTGAAAGCTAGTGAAATAGCAGTTGAGAAAACAGAAGACTTCCCTAACCACATGGCCCTATGTAAAAAAGGTTCAAGGGCTGTCCCAAGGGCAACAATAATTCAAAGGTTCTAATAATTACTCTGTGCCAAATATTTTTTGTTTTTAAATTCTTAATTTTGAAGATAAATATTTATACTGAAAATATATTTCAAACATAAAACGGTTATAGGAAAACCGTTTTACAATACGGCTTTAGCAAAGTCGTTTTTTTTAAAAAAATGTTTGTTTTTTCGGTTTGTCAGTGTTGGTTTTGGTTGAATACACGTTTTTGCCCTGTTCCCCAGTCCAACACACACAGACGAAGCCAAAAAGAGATGAAGAGAGACGAAAAGAGTGCACAGCAGAGGAGGATAATCACTTTTTTGGTTATCACTGTTGAATAGATGAATGAGCTCAGAGATCTTGTTTGTTCCCTTAAATATTTGTTGCCAAGAAATATTTAAATAAGACTTTACACATCGTATACAAAGTATCTAATTTACTAGTTACTACTACGAACAGGAAAACAAAATAAAGGTATGACTATAACACTTATAACACTTCAGAACGACGTAGCTAGTTCAAACATAAGTATCCTACAAAAATAATTTGTGGAAACATTCAACATAATACAATACATAAAATAAAGTGACGAGTACAATACTTAACAGTTACATAGACAAATATTAGACAAACCTTTCACAAACTCATTGTCGGAAGAGTTATTTTAACACACACAGTACATAATTATGGATAACAACATATAATTTAGTAGATAGATAGACACCTAATCCTCGCTCAAATCGACAATCTCAGAGTCTGAACAATCTAAGAGCTCAGGGTCAAAGAGAAGTGCATGATCCTCCTTGATAGCCTTGATAGCCTCAGCATTTGGTGTTGTTCCTTTCTTCTTGGCATCCGACTTAAGTATAGATAGTTTCATATCGCGGGCTAACCTACGACGCATTTGAGAAATCTCAGGTCAAAGTTTTTCACATAGTCGATCAACATTATCTGGATCTTCCTTTTGGATCTCAACTGAATGTTCTTTCGGCACCTTTAGTAGATTTTCCCGATATAATCTTTCCATTTGCACTCGCTCTATAAATAGTGTGGGCCACTTCAGAAGTGTAGCGTCTGCTAAACCACATCCTGTTTGATTATCAGATGGATCCTCTACGAAACCACATGGATCTCGATAGCACTTGGGCATGACAAAATGTCGCTTCCAAAACCTATCATGATAAGTACAAGAGGCATCTAACAAAGCAAATGGTGTTTCATCTTCAGCATCACCACTTCCCCTTCCCGTTTCTCTTCCTTGGCGTGGACTCTCACCTCTTTCGAAGTTCCTACCCCCTGCGAGTCCCCTTCCCGTTCCTCTTCCTCATCGTGAACTCTCACATCTGCGATTCCTATCCCTTGCTATGAATCTATACTCCATTTGATTTTTTCTCAATAAATAAACGACAGTTTCCTAGGGCGACCTGAGTGGAAAGGTTGTGTGTTTATTATCACTCTGTCTTTTATATAGTTGTTTGTCAACACTATTGCCATATGGTCGTATTAATGTGACTTAGATGAGTTCTAAAATGTGAGAAAAAAACAAAGCATCTAAGTCGCTGCACAAAGTCACATGCCATTAAAAGCCCACATATACCAACACATCTTTATGAGTTGTCATTGTAAGGAATAAACAGTCAATGCTAAACAAGCTCCACACAATCAGTACTTCAATCTTCACTCGAAAGTGACTACTCACTTTTTCAAAAAAGACCAATCATTCGTACACTGTTTACTGTGGCCATGTGAACTTGGCCATTGCATTGAGTCCTTTAATTTATTACGTCTATTAAAGTCACTACATCACTGCATAACTGAGAAATGTTGGACGTATCATTGCAACAACTTTGACGAGACTACTTACTGTATGAAAAAAAGCAAGAAGTCATACCATAGCTATTGTGTCCATGTGAACTTCAACAATTCATAATGGGATGAGGGGGTGTTAGAACAAAACAACAAAACAATTAGACCCTTTGTGTTTAAAAAGCCACCCTATGCGGCTTCAAATAGATTGATGAATCTTGAAGAGAAAATATTATAGAGTTGGAATGTATTGAAGATTAATTTGTAGTAGAGTACTTATAGATGGGTTTTTGGATGTATGGAACTTGAAAGTGTTACAGATAAAAGCTAGTCTAGTATCCAGACAAGAACAACACCGACTTAAATCAACACATAGTTAACTAAAAATTTGAGAGAAATCATTAAAAAGTAGTTCAAAGAGATTTTAAGAGCAGTTAATACAGCAACAATTCGAGAAAATCAAGGGAGTGGAACAAGTTAAAAGATATCTGCCGAATCGAAAAATCCAAACCCCATCATGTATATCTAAATAAGCTCAGAATACTTATAAAAGATAGAGAAATTAAATTGAAATTAAATTGGTTAAATTTCTCCAATTAAATTAAATTAAATATGTAAGGTGAAAAGTGTAATTAAATATATTGTCAAGGCAAAATAAATTGAATTAAATTTTTAAGCGGAAAAATGAAATTAAATTTCAAAGTGGATTTGAACTTTGCTTAAAACCTTCAGATATGTACTGAGTAGTCAATAAAAGTCGAAGTGACAACTCCTATAAAGTTGATGCACAGTTGTTCAGGTCATAAAGGTTGACGTGACAACTCTTTTACAATAATTTTAAACATACAGCTACCATGTGAACCTCCTGAAGTATGACAAGTCATTGTCAACATATGAGTTTAGAGTTTGTAAGACATGAATACTTGCGTCCATCTCCATTTTGAATTTGTGCATGTTGCAACAACTGTGTATATGTGGTATAAATATCGCATCATACCACAACAAAAGTTTTATAGATATATCGAGAGATATCATCATGAGATATATGATGGTTGATCTATATTCAGCAATGGGTCGCCATTGGGTTGTAGATGGAGATTGTACGGGCACGAAATATTCTTCCCGTATAATCCTATTGATCAAGTCTTCGCTCCTCCGTACGTCGTCGCTTTATTCCCTGAAAACACAAACGTGAGTTAGCCGGCGGGTGTGTGCCGGATACCTCTCCGATGCCTAAGTCAGCAGAATAGACAAATAGACAAAAAGCTCTATGTATTCGAGAATCAAAGTTGTGTTTTACCTCTCCATAGGTGATGTTATGAGCTTTTATAGGTTCCGCGTGGCATAATCCAAGTAGGACTCTTACTCCTCCATGTAGAGTCCTCCTAGGAATCACATTCCTGAAAGATAATGCTTATCCTTTAACACCCCACTCACTGCTTAAACCAAGTGAGATGGTTTTACCACGGTTGGATGTCAATACGACCGAGCTAACATGACCATGCTAAAGCTGCAGACTAGACCGAGCTCCAGCTAGCTCGGTCCACCATGAGAAGCCATCATACCTTGGCTCCAAACACTACGACCAAGCTAACTATGGCGCGCTACGACCACGGTGACCGTCATTACACTTGGACCAAGCTAACACTTGCGATCCACCTGCTAAGCTCTTTTTACCGCAGCTAACACCTTTACCTCGGCTGACCCCTTTACCTCGGCTGATATCTTTACCTCAGCTAACATTGCAGTCAACCAAGT